GTCCCTTACAGTCACTCCCACTATGATCCCAGTATGGTGCTGGTCACTCCCACTATGACCCCAGTCACTCCCAGTCACTCCCAATAGGATCCCAGTTGTCCCGAACTGGGTCTCAGTTGCTCCAAGCCCCACACCAGGATGGTTCCTTTCTCTCTCAGGGACTCCCAGTCTGAGTCCAGTATGACCCCAGGCACTGTCAGTCCCTGCCTGGACGATGCCATTTGCCCCCTGCATGGTCCCAGTTGCTCCCAGTATGATCCCAATATGAGTCCAGTCACCTCCAGTATGATCTCAGGAACTTCAAACACTTCCAGTAAGTGGTCAGTTTGATCCCACTCATCCCCAGTATGGTTGCAGTCCCTCTCACACACTCCCAGTATTATTGCAGTCACTCCCAGTAAGACCCCAGCAGGACAGCAACAGGGGTCCAGCTGCTCCCACTATGATCCCAGTTGCCCCCAGCAGGCTTCCAGTTGCTCCCCTTCACCCCTACTATGGTTCCAGTCCTTCCCAGAACGATCCCAGTCACCCCCAGCCACTCCCAGTATAGCCCACTTGCCTCCAGCATTCTCCCAGTCAGTCCTAGTATGATCCCAGTCTCTCTTAGTAGAATCCAAGTCAATCCCTGCACAGTCCCAGTTGCTCCCAGTCATCCCACTGTAGTTCCAGTCCCTCCCAGTATGACCCCAGTATGACTCCAGTATGACTCCAGTGACACCCTCTATGGTGGCAGTCACAGCCAGGATGAACCCAGACATTCCCTGTCACTCCCAATATAAAGCCATTTGCCTCCAGCAGGGTCCCACTTGCTCCCACTCACCCCACTATAGTCCCAGTCTCTCCCAGTTGACCTCAGCCTGCTCCCAGTTAGTCCCAGTCACTCCTGGTCTCTCTCAGTATATCCCAGTTGCCCCCAGTGTGGTCCCACTCACTCCCAGTTGCTCCCAGTACCTTCCAGCATGATTCCAGTTGCTCACAGCCACTCCCAGTCACCCCCAGTGTGGTCCTAGTCACTCCCAGTACGATCTCAGTCACCTCCAGTATATCCCAGTTGTGCCAACAGAATGCTTCCAGTCACTCCCAGTATGACCCCATGTACCAGGTTTGCTAGGACACATGTCTGGAAAAAAGACAAGTAGAACAGTCATTCAAAAACTACAAAAAGTCTTTTATTGCAGTGAGAGTAAAAAAAACTATTAGCAAAGAGAATCAAAAGCTTAAAAAGAATGCAAAACCACTACTTTATCAGTTGCCATGCATACAATACTACAAGCAGCCTCTGTTACAGCATTAGCTAGTAAAAAGGGAATTAAAGGAATACAAGAAAAAGGATATAAAATGTTTGCTTTCTCGGTTGCTTCCTAACAATAAACTGCTCACCTGCACAGACAGCGCCAGGCCTACCAGGCTCTGCAGGGCTGGTCGGTGCCCGTGCTTGGCGGGTGTCCCCGCGGAGCAGCACAGTGTGGATGGAAGGATGAGCATCGCTCCACCCAGCAGTGCTGACACCCCATTCCATCAGCTCTACATTACACTACGTAGGGCCAGGACGCAGCAGAAGGTGGTGCTTGAGTGGCAGCCAAACAGCGCCTGTTCATCACCTCATGGCAACAGTCTGGGCGTGCCCCACTGTAGGGGAAGGGGCCAATGACCCCTGCCCACATCGTCTTCCTCTCCATCACCTTCCTCAGCCCTATGGACGACCTGTACCATTGTGTTTCAAGGGGATTTGTATCTCTCTTGCAGAGTGGAGCCAAGCCAAGGAGGAACTCAGCTCTGATAATGGGGGACATCCAGTTAACTTTGCTAAAGGTACAATGGGCCTTACAGTCAACTTGTGCAATAAAGTCACATTGTACAATACTCTGGCTGTGTTCACATGCGAATATAATCACTTTTTCACCCCTTTTTGCTCCATGGATCATCTAAATCAAAAGCACCCCCTTACACCATGGCAACCACTGAACATTCACATTGTTAACTTGGTTACCATGGCAACCATTGTATAGTCTCATTGTGACGTCGCTTGCCATGAACATCATTGTGTATTCTCATTGTGACGTCACTTACCATGGAAACCATTGTGCATTCCCATTGTGACCTCGGTTACCATGGCAACCATTGTGCATTCTCATTGTGATATCACTTACCATAGACATCACTGTGCATTCTCATTGTGACACCACTTATCATGGCAACCATTGTGCATTCTCATTGTGACCTCGGTTACCACGGTAACCATTGTGGATTCTAAGTATCACTCAGCAACCATGGCAACCACTGTGCACTCCCACTGTAATATCGGTTAATATGGCATCTGTTGTGTATTCTCATTGTGACATCAGTTACCATGGCAACCATTGTGCATTCTCATTGTGACTTCAGTTACCATGGCAACCATTGTGCATTCTCATAATGATGTCACTTACCATGGCAATCATTGTGCATTCCCATTGTGATCTCAGTTACCACGGCAACCATTATGCAGTCTCACTGTTACAGTGGTTACCATGGCAACAATTAAGCATTCTCATTGTGATGTTGGTTACCATGGCAACCATTGTCCATTCTCATTGTGATGTCACTTTCAATGGAAACAACTGCACAATCTCATTGTGACCTCCGTTACCATGGCAACCATTGTGCATTCCCATTATGACCACAGATGCCATGGAACCATTGTGCATTGTCATTGTGATTTGGTTGCCATGGCAACCATTTTGCATTCTCATTGTGACCTCGGTTACCATGGCCACCATTATGTGTTTTTTTTTCTTAACATCGGTTACCATGGCAACCATTGTGCATTCCCATTATTAAATGATTACCATGGTAACCATTGTGCATTTCTATCATCACCTAGCTTACCACAGCAACCATTGTGCATTCTCATTGTGACCTTGGTTATCATGGCTACCATTGTACATTCTCATTGTGACTTTTGGTTACCATGGGAACCATTATGCTTTCTCATTTTGACCTCAGTTGCCATGGCAACCCTTGTGCATTCCCATTGTGACCTCGGTTGCCATGGCAACCATTATGTATTCCCACTTTGACCTCGGTTACCATGGCAACCATTGTGCATCCTCATTGTGGCCTCACTTACCATGGCAACTGTTATGCATCCTCATTGTGTTGTCAGTTGCCCTCGCAACCATTGCGCATTCCCATTGTGAACTCAGTTACCATGGCAATCATTGTGCATTTTCATTGTGAACTTTGTTACCATGACAAACATTGTGCATTCTCATTGTGACTGTGCATAGCATGGCAACCACTGTGCATTCCCACTGTAACCCCGGTTGCCATGACAACCATTGTGCATTCTCATTGTGACATCAGTTACCATGCCAAACATTGTGAATTCTCATTGTGACCTCAGTTACCATGCCAAACATTGTGAATTCTCATTGTCACTTCGGTTACCATGGCAACCATTGTGCATTCTCATTGTTAAGTCGGTTACCATGGCAACCATTGTGCATTGCCATTGTGATGTCGCTTACCATGCAAACCATTGTGCATTGTCGTTGTGATGGTTACCATGGTAAAAATTGTGCATTCTCATTCTGACATCACTTACTGTGGTAACCATTGTGAATTCCCATTATTACAACAGTTTCCATGGCAACCATTGTGAATTCTCATTGTGACCTCGGTTACCATGGCAACCGCTATGCAGTCTCACTGTTTTGCTGGTTACCATGGCAACCATTGTGCATTCTCATTGTTAACTCGGCTACCATGGCAAAGATTGTGCATTTGCATTGCTAGGGCCGGTTAATAAGGCAACCATTATGCATTTCCTGTTACGTCGCTTACCATGGCAACCATCCGTAACACACAGATAATATAGAAATGCCAAAAATTGTTTCTGCCTGTCAAAAACCTCCTATCAAACATTCTCTGTCAGTTCTCTGAAGGAAGTTCTCACCAGGACTTCCCATGGCACCTTTCCTGCCAAAAGATCCTGCCATTGTCTATGATTATCGTATCTCCTCCAACATCTGAACTGGCTACGTGCCAAGAAACCACGTGCAACCTCTTTTGAACACTATAAAAGTTGAGGACAAATTCTGGAAAATCAGGGAGAGGAAAGGGAGAAGAACTGGTGACTGTAGCCGAGAATCTCTGCCCACCTCCCCTCACCTTTTCTCCACCACCGCGTGCTGTCTGCCTGCCACCGGAGACTGGAACTGTGCCGACCTAGAGAGAGCTGAGACCACCGTGCCACATGTGGGAGTTCTACCTTATCCTTCTACCCTGGCCATATTTCTGAGGGCCCAAAGCTTCGGTTGAGCTGAGACCCTGCATGGCCTGGGACAGGGGCATGAGCGGTGAAACCACACCTGGTGCATTGCAGAGAACTAAAGCTGTCAGACCCCCTGCAGCTACAGAGACAACATCCAAAAGCTGCAGAGACAGAGAAAAAAAGGCAGAAACTCCTTCTCTTCCCCCACATACAGACCAGCTCAGTGGGAAAAGGTACTTTTCAGTGGTATTCTCTGCTTCTAGAAATATTCTTAGCAGTTGCCAACCTTTTCTTTTCTTTTTGCACCTCTTAGCAATTAATAAAAATCAGGTTTTGGTATCAACAGATAACTTGTGTGAGTTTTAGTTTTGCTCAAGGGAATATTCAAATCTAAAGTTCTTTCTGCAATATTTAAGCAGATTATAACAGGGGACCATGAAAAAGTGGGAGGAACACGGAGAAGGGTGGAAGAGGGGGGGTGGTCTGGCAGGTCTGAAAGTCCCATGGGGGTCTTTGGGAACAGGAGGATTCACAAAAGGGGGTGGCCCCTCTGAGCTCCCAACTGACTGTGGGGTCCTGGGGGCTGCTGGATCCAATCTCAGCCTTGGGTTTTGCCAACACGTTCAGCTTAGAGGAATTACAGAGGTGGGACTGAACCACTTTTGTCCCCCAGGTTTTAAGGATGGCAAATCACATCTATTGATAGAAATGAATTATTTAGGGTTACAAATGATCAGACAAAAGATCTTCATCAGAATTATTTACTGCACAATAGAAACACTAATACTACCAGTAGGACAGCATAAGATAGGACAGTGCTCTACACGAAAGCAATTGTTGAAGCAATTCTACTCAAGCTGGCACCAAAGCAAGAATTATGAGTTAGAGATGGATGGAACTCCCCCAGACCAACACTCGTGGGGAGATCTCTGCTCTCAACCTCCAGCAGTGACCTTGGGGGGTCCCAGTCAAGGCAGGAATCTCCACACACTCCCCAAGAAGGGTTCTGATGGCAGAACCTGCCCCTGGGAAAGGGCACTGGCCCTTTCTGGTAGAAAGGGATGGACTGACAGTCACTGGACTCCAGGGGTTGCCTCACCATCAGGGGGGTCATTCGGGGTGGGAGCAGCGGCCAAAGCTCTTCCCGCAGTCGGGGCACTCCTAGGGCCTTCCCTTACCGGTGGGTCCGTTGGTGTTTGGTTAAGTTGGAGCTGTCCCTGAAGCTCTTCCCACACTCCCCACACTTGTAGAGCCTCTCCCCAGTGTGGATGCGCCGGTGGCCAACGAGGTGGGAGTTCCGCTTGAAGCCCTTCCCACAGTCGGTGCAGCGGAAGGGCCTCTCCCCTGTGTGTGTCTGCTCATGCCTGAGGAGAGTTGTGCTGGTCTGAAACTTCCTCCCACATTGCAAGCACTTGTAGGGCCGTTCCCCAGTGTGGATGAGCTGGTGGATGCGGAGGTTGGAGCTGTCCCTGAAGCTCTTCCCACATTCCTCACACTTGTAGGGCCTCTCCCTGGTGTGGATGCGCCGGTGGGTGATGAGGGTGGAGTTCCGGGTGAAGCCCTTCCCGCAGTCAGTGCAGAGGAAGGGCCTCTCCCCTGTGTGTGTCTGCTCGTGCTCGAGGAGATGTGATCTGGTCTGAAACCTCTTCCCACATTCCCTACACGTGTAGGGCCGTGCCCCAGTGTGGATCTGTTGGTGTCGGATCACGCTGGAGCTCCAGTTGAAGCCCTTCCCACATTCCAAGCACCTGAAGGGCTTTTCCTTGCTAGGAGGCTGCTCAACAACTGATTTGGTGAGAAAAACCAAAATCACTGACACTGAGGCAAAAAACCTCAGAAACAGCGAGATGAATCCCCTTGGAAACGTCAAAAATTAAGGTTCAGCCAAAATACGAATCTTTATGCCAAAAAAATTTCTCTCAGGAATTCCCCCTCTCTTGTCTCCTCCCTCTGGGGTTCAGAGGGTCCCCCCTGTCTGGGATGTTGGGGGTCCCACTTAGGGATGTTGGGAGTGTTGGGGGTCCCAAGGGTCCCTTCTCCTCTGACTCTCACCTTTGGGGTGCTGCCTTCTGACATATTCCCCTGGGAAGGAGGAATTCATCTCAAATAGCCTGGGGGGAACATGGGGGTCGCGACAATCTCGGGCTGTGAGCACAGATTTCCCTGCAAAGTCTGCAGGGAGTCAGTCGAGCTCTAAAGAGCAGATTGTGCCCCAGGGATGGGATTGCAGAGGGGCCCTCAGGTCCCCAGAATGCAGCAGCAACCACCAATAGACACAAAAGGCCCCCCCAAGCATTTCATGGGGAGTGTTCTGCGGGGAGGGGACAGTGTCACCCCATGAGGGCGGGGTTGGCAAGTGGGAGGCTGCTCCAGGTGTCTGCAAGAGGCCTCGTGCTCTGCTCGGCCCCATCAGTGGCTGGGACCAACACCCCGTCCTCGTGGCCAGCAGCTCTTTCCTGCCCCAGCCAAGAGGTTCCCGGCCCCCCAGAGCTCCCCTGGGGCTGTCCCTGCTCCTCCCTGCAGGCTCCATGGCCGGGCACACTTTGTGTTCCTGGGTGCCACCAGCTCAGCAGCTGCAGCCGCTCCAATCAGCGCCCGCAGCTCTGCAGCAAAGCCCCAGCTCACCTGGCACACAGGGCATGGACACAGCACCTTCTCGCTGCTGGGCACTCCCAGATCAGTCTCTTCCCCAGCATGGGGCTCTCCTGCCTCAGCACCACCTCTGCCTTCCACTTCTTCTCAGGGCCACCTGAGGGCCAGCTCTGGGCTCACCTCCGGGCCATTGCTCAGGGCCACCTCAGGGCCTGCTCTCCAGCACAGGAACCTGCAGGGAGGGCAGATGATGTGCAAGCCCAGAGGGGCCTGCTTGCACTGGCCTGGGGGCTTCTTTCTCCTTCCACAACCACCCCACAACTTCTCCTGCTTTTCTAACCCCACATCTTTGCAGACTGACCTTGTCTCTCTGTCTGCACAGACACATCTATCCCCTGTGGACAGAGCCTCCAGCATGTGCTGCCCTGGCAATGGCACCCAGAGAATCCCAGAATCAGCCGGCTTGGAAAAGACCTCCCAGATCATCAAGGGCACCCCTTGATCCAACTCCGCCGTGGTTCCCAGACCGTGGCACGGATGCCCAGGGGAAGGGCTTTGGGGATTGGGGCTCTCCCAGTACAGCCCAGTGCTCCCAGCACAGCCCAGTGTGTTCCTGTCCCAGGGTGCCGGGTGATCCCTCTTTGGTGGGTGTTTGATTGGGATTTGGGGCATTTTGGGGGCCTCTGGGTGCATTTGGGGGAGTTAAAAGGGATCTTGGGAGCATTGTGGGGTCAAAGGGAACTGAGGGGGGGGAAGAGATTAAAGGAAAAATGGGGGTTAGGGGACATTTAGGGGTCCTTATTGGGGCCCTAGGGGGAAACAGAAGGGGCAGCTCCACAAGCAGGTGAGTCCTGAGACCCTCATGGTGTCCCCAAGAACCTCCTGGTGTCTTCAATTTCCCATTTGGCACCTCGAGACCCCCTTGGTGTCTCCAATGTCCCCAGGGCCTCCCCATGGTCCCAGTTCCCCCCTTGAAACCCCTTTTTCCACTGTCCCCAAACTCCTCCCCACTGTCCCAAAACCCCATCTCTGATGTCCCCAACCCTCCACCTCCCCCAGAAGGCCCTCCTGGACCCTCTCACCTCCAAAACAGCCCCATCCCCCTACGCTCACAGAAAGGTCAAGGGCATCTGGGGACACGTTGGGGACACGTTGGGGACACTTGGGGGACACTGGGTGATTACTGGGGGATACTGGAACACACCTGAGGGAACCAGGGGGCACTGGGAGGGACTGGGGCGTTATTGAGGGATGCTGGGAGAGCACTGGGAGGGACTGGGTGATTTGGGTGGATTACCAGGACACATGGGAGACACTGGGAGGTTACTGGGCCATACTGGGGGTTACTGGGTGCTCACTGGGGGATCATTGGGCCATACTGGGGGGCAGTGGGAGGTCACTAGGAAACACTGGGTGGTCACTGGTGGGATTACTTGGCCATACTGAGAGCCACTAGGAGGTCACTGGGCTATACTGGGGGCACTGGGATCCCTTTACGTGGATGTGGTTCATCTCCCTGCAAAAAATTTGGGTGGCACCGTCAGAACCCCCCTCTGAGGGCTCGGGGACCCCCTAAAACCCAATGATAGGCTTTAGGCGCCCCTGAGCCCCCCTCCCTGTGGGGTCTCTGTGTGCTGAGTTTTGGGGGTCTCTGGGTTTCGAGGGGGCATCAGGATCCGTTTTCCTGCAGTCGGTCCGCCCAGCCGGCAGGCGGCGCTGTGGCACGACGGCAATGGCGGCGCCGCGCGAAGCTTCCATGGGAGTTGAAGTTCCCTCGTGGAAACTCCGCCGGCGCCTGCGCAGTGCAGCCATGGCGTTTAAACAGCCCCCCCCCCTTCCAGAGGGTTCCGAGGCCCCAGCCCTTTCAGGGACCCCCTAAACCCCTTCAGGCACCTTCACCCTCCCCTCTGAGCGCCCTCAGGACACCAAATCCCCTCCGCGACCCCCCGACAGCCCCTCACGGACCTCGAAACCTCCTCGGGAACCCCCGAGCCCCTCCTCTCCACTCTGCCGAGCCCTCCAGCCTTCCCGCCCACAGCCGCGCTCCCCGCAGCCCCCGAGCGCATCCCCAGCCCCGCCGCAGCCCCCGCCAGCTCTCACAGAGTCGCAGATTCCGCTCTCGCCGCCATCGCTTTCCCGGCAGCCACCGCGGGGCTGTGCGCGCGCACTGCCGGCAGAGACCCCGCCCCCTTTTCCGCGCGGGGCACGCCGGGAGTTGTAGTTGCAGCGGCTCAAAGCTCCAAACTCCCCCAGACTCAATTCCCCACGGGCGTTCCTGGGGCAGAGCGGGGCAGAACCGGGGCGGGGACGGGACGGGCATTGGGTGGAAATCATTATAAAAACTGTAACCCCTGCGCTGGAAGGGATGGGTGTGGGTTTGTATTCCTGGAGCTGGAGGCTCATGGAAACCTCTGCTGCTTCTCTGACCTCCTACCTAGTTGGGCCTGGAGTCTTTTTCCCTCTGCAGCCTTTTAGGCAACAACGTTTATGGGGTTTTTGAGGGCACGGCCTTTATGAGGAGAGTCTTTTATGAGGGGTATGGGCTTTCTGAGGACAGCACCTTTATGACCTGCATGGGCTTTATGCAGAGAGATCTTTTATGATGAGAGCTCTATCATGAGGTGTATGGGCTTTATGAGGACAGTGCTTTTATGACATTTATGGTGTTTATGAGGACAGAGCCTTTATGATGTGAGCCCATTCTGAGGTGCACAGGCTTTATGAGGACAGAGCCTTTATGAGGTTTATGGCATTTATGAGAACATCTCCTTTATGATGAGAGCCCCATGAGGAGGTTTATGGGCCTTATGAGGACAGGGGCTTTATGAGGCCTGCAGCACCATGAAGTGTGTGAGGCTGATGAGGACAGTGCCTTTCTGAGGCTACCCCATTATGGTGTGGATGGGTTCTATGAGCACAGAGACCTTCTGAGGCCTGCCCCATTGTGAGGTGGATGGGGTTTATGAGGAGAGAGACTTTATGAGGAGAGTCTCTTATGAGGTCTTTGGGCTTATGAGGAGAGCACCATTATTACCTGTAAGGGTGTTATGAAGAAGAGCTTTCATGATGAGAGTTTTTTTATGAGGTGTTTGGGCTCCCTGAGGCCTGCACCATTGTGAGGTTTATGGGCTTTATGAGAGCAGTGTCTTTATGAGGCCTGCACTTTTATGAGGTGGATGGGGTTTATGAGGGCAGAGCTTTTATGATGTTTATGGGTTTTATGAGGACATGGCTTTTATCATGGGAGCCCCTGATGAGGTTTATGGGCTTCATGAGGACAGCACCATTATGACATGTATGGGCTTTATGCAGACAGAGCTTTTATGATTATGAGGTTGTTGGACATTATGAGGACAGGGGCTTTATGGGGCCTGCACCACTATGAGGTGAAGGAGCTTAATGATGCTGGAGCCTTTAGGAGGTTGTGGCATTACTGAGGTCATCAGCTTTATGATGAGAGCCCCATGGTGAGAGGTATTGGCTTTGTGAGGCCAGTGCTTTGATGAGGCTGCACCATTCTGAGGCGTGTGGGGTGTATGAGGAAATGGCCTTTATGATGAGAGCCCCATTATGAAGTGCATGGGCTTTATGAGTCCTTTTGCCTTGGAGTTTTGATTTTTTAGGTTTTGTAGATTTTAACAGTAGTTGTACAGGAATTGTAGCTTTTAACAGAGCTGCATTTTATCCTTTACCCTTAACACAGTAGTTCCACAGAGCCAACCCTGTTCCCCAACTCCCATATCAATCCCCCTAAATTCCATTGGCCTGTTTGGTCTCATTTTCAAGGTAGAATTGTAGAGAACACCCTAAAAACTGTGCAAGGGTCCATCGGAGGGGCTGGAAGCCAGCAGGGTCCTGTCCTGAGGGAGACAGAACACCAGCAGAGCCCTTCCCCATGCTGAGGGGGCCTTGTAATCAGGTGTCTGCTGGGGAGTTTTGTTCAATACTTGTTGATTCAAATAAAAAAAAATGAAGGGTAAACAGAGCTTTGTATACTTGAGGTGTCACATTCCCCCCTTTTTGGTTTAAAAGTATTTGTTTTAAATACAGAGCACACATTTCTTACACCTGGGATAGGCACAAGTGATAACACCACATTTATGATTTCTTTCCGTTTTGTTTCCACCCTTCCTTTTTTTTTTTCTTCCTTTTTCTTTCTTTTATTTCTTTTTTCCTCTTTTTTCCTTTTTTTCCTTTTTCCTTTCTTTTTTTCTTGTTGGCTTTTTCCTTTTTTTTTTTTTTTAAATTTTTCTTTCCTTTTTTCCTGTTTTACTCAATTTTTTTTTCTTTTGTCTTTTCTTTTTTTCCTTTATCTTTCTTTTTCTTTTCTCTTTTTTCCTTCATCTTTCTTTTCTCTTTTTCCATTTTTTAATTTCTTTTTCTTTTCTTTTTTTCCTTTATCTGTCTTTTTTCTTTCTTTTTTTCCTTCATCTTTTTTTTTCTTTTTTTTTTACTTTCTTTTTCTTTTCTTTTTTTTCCATTTATCTTTCTTTTTCTTTCTTTTTTCCTTCATCTTTCTTTTCTCTTTTTTCATTTTTTAATTTCTTTTTCTTTTCTTTTTTTTCCTTTATCTGTCTTTTTTCTTTCTTTTTTTCCTTCATCTTTTTTCTTTTTTCTTTTTTTACTTTCTTTTTCTTTTCTTTTTTTCCTTTATCTTTCTTTTTCCTTTCTTTCTCTTTTCTTTTTGTTTCCTTTATCTTTCTTTTTCTTTTCTTTCTCTTTTCTTTTTGTTTCCTATATCTTTCTTTTTTCTTTCTTTTTTTCATCTTTTTTTTCCCTTTTTCTTTTTTTTTACTTTCTTTTTATTTTCTTTTCCTTTATCTTTCCTTTTTCTTTCTTTTTTTCTTCATCTTTTTTTTCCTTTTTTTTTACTTTTTTCTTTCTTTTTTCCTTCATCTTTTTTTCTTTTTTTACTTTCTTTTTCTTTTTTATTTATCTTTCTTTTTCTTTCTTTTTTCTTTCTTATCTTTCTTTTTCTCTTTTTCATTTTTACTTTCTTTTCTTTTTTTTTCCTATATCTGTCTTTTTTCTTTCTTTTTTTCCTTCATCTTTTTTCTTTTTTTCTTTTTTAACTTTCTTTTTCTTTTCTTTTTTTCCTTTATCTTTCTTTTTCCTTTCTTTCTCTTTTCTTTTGTTTCCTTTATCTTTCTTTTTTCTTTTCTTTCTCTTTTCTTTTTGTTTCCTATATCTTTCTTTTTTCTTTCTTTTTTTCTTCATTTTTTTTTTTTTTTTTTTTTTTTTTTACTGTCTTTTTCTTTTCTTTTCCTTTATCTTTCTTTTTTCTTTCTTTTTTTCTTCATCTTTTTTTTCCTTTTTTTCTTTTTTTCCTTTTTTCTTTCTTTTTTTTCCTTCATCTTTTTTTCCTTTTTGTCTTTTTACTTTCTTTTTCTTTTTCTTTTCCTTTATCTTTCTTTTTTTCTTTCTCTTTTCCTTCATCTTTTTTTCCTTTTTTCTTTTTCTTTTTTTCTTTCTTTTTTCTTCATCTTTTTTCTTTTTGTCTTTTTACTTTCTTTTTCTTTTCTTTTTAATTTATCTTTCTTTTTTTCTTCATCTTTTTTTTCTTTTTTGTCTTTTTTACTTTCTTTTTCTTTTCTTTTTTTTAATTTATCTTTCTTTTTTCTTTCTTTTTTTCTTCATCTATTTTTTTCTTTTTGTCTTTTTACTTTCTTTTTCTTTTCTTTTTTTTTAATTTATCTTTCTTTTTTCTTTCTTTTTTCTTCATCTTTTTTTTCCTTTTTTTCTTTT